TTCTATAGAAGGTCTGTTTGCTAACCACTAAACTATGGAGAGAGATGGACATTAAGTAAGGTATAAGTGAAAGTTCAATCTCAATTTGAGTTGTCTAAATTATGTAAAATAATGTTTTTTATTTCACCTGCACAACTGAAGACCCAGGTGGTTAAGAAATGTCGTTTACAGGGGCACCACTCACCTTAGAAATGTTCTTAATTAAAATAAAACGAATCACCTCGAGCTGTCCGGTCATATTATGTCTTTTAACGTCGCTGTGGTCGCCTGACGCATGTCCTCTTGGAAGAGAGCAATGTCCCAGATGTGGGAAATCGCCCTCCCAAGCTGGGGAGATGAAACTTGGGTTTTCCAGAAGAAATGGTGACTGCACGAGAGAACTTCATGAAGGTTGTTTAATAAGCAGCGCCATACTGTGTTCTTTTTTCTATCACGTGTGATAGCAATATCGTGATATCACGTGACACGGCGAGAGGCGATCTGTGCCCGAAAACTTTGCTGGGACATATTGGAATGTACGAAATATATAAGGCTTGTACTTTTAATGTTATTTAGTAAAAATAAATAAACTATTTATAATGTTAGAAAGTAAAATGAACCGCCATATAATGATGTAGTCACAAAAAAATAAATGTATTCACGTTGGCCGCACACCTATTATATAAAATACTTGAGCAATTTGGCTCAAATTCTCTCAAAATTACTTTAAAAGTGGGTCTTGATTGGTTGATACTTCCTTGATCTTAGTTTCCAATCCACATCTGCCCACCAAAAACCCACATCTGCCCAATTTTATGAGCTCCTTTCTACTCATATCTTTGTATTTACTTTTCTCTTTAATTCATGGTTCTGTTTAACATATTTGTTTGAAGAAAAGATATCTAAAGAAAGAGATTGATAGGCCAAGAAAATATAATGTGAACATATTATCTTGGAAAACATCATAGGAAGAACTTGCAAGGTAGAAGTAAGTAGGGGTGGCCATCGCCCCCAAGGCCGATGGCACATAAACCTTCTCCCACCCCTTCCAAGATATTTTATTTCTCTCTTCTTCTTAAAAATAATGCAAATGAAAGTAGAATTTGAATATTCATAGATTATATACCATTACACATCATGTGGTCTATTCCATGAATCCACTTGTATTTTGACTTGAAACTTTTCATTTTGAAAATTCATAACCCTGTCGAAATGTGCCCCCTCAAAAATTGAAAACACCGTCAAAAAGTTTCCTCCTCAAGCTGTGCCATAAAACCCCCATCTGGGCACCCCTGGAAGTGAGCGATATCTGCAGACTGAAGGAATTATAATTTCCACAACAGTTAATTTATTTTATGAGAAAAACTGTTCTGTTAGTTATTTTATCAAGATTCATTTAATTTTTTTTATTGAAAGTTATATCATCTGTTTTGGTATTATTATTATAGTATATTATACAGCACACCTGCCAAAAGAAAAAACATCTTTTATGCTGACAAGGAGTGATCATATAACATTAACCAAATTTACAGAACTATTCAATGCATTCCAGCATTTATTTTGTATAATGTATATAATTTTATTTATAATTTTTATTTTAAAAACTTTAACAGTTAAAAGTTAACAGGGTTAGATAATTTATTATTGTATCATGTCATTATTTCGCTTATAATTAATTTATGTTATATTTTTATAATATATAATACATTTCTGTTGCATTAAAACAAAAATGTGGTTTGATTTATGAATTGAAAAAAGAAATCTGTTACATAATTGATTGAATGATAAGTAATCAGAGAACTAGATTTCACTTTTGTTGTGTTTTTCTGTAGTCGATTAAAAGATAATCATGAAATAAACATTTTTTCAATCTTTTAAATACTTAGCTGATTGAGAACCTATTAAATATACTCAACCCATGTATATAGACAATATATGAAGTAAATAAAACCAAACAAATCACTATAATAGACAATTATTTCTATTTAAAATACATGTACAATTCAATAGAAGAGGGTAATAACTATAGAAAACAGCAATGATGCATTAAAAGGAATATCCATAAAAACCGAAGTTTAAATAAACAAACTACAAAAGTCCAATAACACCTCGGTTAATTGGTTTAATAAAACCACAAAAAATTAATTAAGTGTGAACCTATTCTAAATGGAATTGGAAGACCAACTTATAAATTATCAAAATATTTAAAATTGATTTTAGATATTCTGCATGGAAAAAATCCGAATGATGTAAAAAATACAATAGAAGTAAAGAATAAAGTAATATATTAAATTAAAATCAAATAAGTAATGGTTAGTTTCGATTTTTCATTATCCACAAATGTACCCATAAAACAGATAATTAAAATATTAGAACAATATACTGAAGTTACTGTAAAATGTAATTATAGCTGATCCTTTGATAGAAATAATCAATTGGCTACTCTGAGATAAATAATAAATTAGAATGGAATAGGTTGTCAGACATAAAGGCATGGAAGGAAATTAATGAAGTGTCTGAATTTTTGCAGCTTTAAGCAAGTTGTTGCCCTTACACACTATAATAAACAAAAGTGAAATGTTATTCGAATTTCATCTGCAACATATTGGACAAATTAACCCTTTCAGACTTGTACACGTATATGTCAGACATTTAACGCTTAGAGTCTGCTTCAGACTAGAACATACAATTATATAAAGTGTACAACTATAAATATGACTTTATATTCTTTACTTCAGTATTTATGTATAATTCAATATTTTTATAAAGATAAATTATTTCATCAACTGACACATATAATTGTAAATTCCCTACCTAAAGTAAAGAAAAAGACCCTGCTTATATGCTGCTACTGTAAAAGTTTCTTTACTTTAGTTCAGATTTGATTACTTATTTCAGGAGCACTAACATTAAAAGAAGAAACTGTTAAAAGTGACACCATCATGTTTTCCACAAATCAGAGTATAAATCAGAGGAAAATAACTTGACTACTACTACAACATGGTTTACTTAGATTTTAAACAGATATTATATGAAATAAGTTCCTTACTCCTAATATCTTAGTTTGTAATAATTAAATTTTATTGGTATTTATCAAATATACATGTTAAATTAAAAAAAAATATGCTTCTTAAATAACTAATTCTTTTCACAATAAACATTCAACACCATGAGTTCATAATTTCTTTCAAGGATTCTTTTTCTTCAAGTTTTATAATTAATATAAATCTAAATATCTAATGTGATTTTGTGAATTTCAAATAAATAAAGGTGGTAAAAAAATTATAATTTACAAATTATTAAATTAGTAAAAGATTTATAATAATATTCTCAAAATCAAGAAAATAAAATACCTAATTTTAATAAAATCTGAAACATTCAATATGAACAGCTAGAAGACTTACTTCGATAGATAACTATACTTAGTGACACACATGGGGACAATTTTTTTTTTTAATTTACAATTTTCAACTTAATTTATACTTTTTATCAGTTAAGATATCAAAAGATTAGGAAATTAATTTTCCTTTTATATTATACCTCCTACATAGTTATAAGACATTAACTTTACATGTAAGTGGAAAATATTCTATTTTTGTATATAAATAATTTATATAAATAATTATTAAACTAAATAAAAATCAAATTAAGAATGAGATCAATATTAAGTGTGGTTAAAATATTAACACTTATAAATGAGCTAGTAATAGTAATAGATTTTCTTAATAACTTTTTTTAATATCATAATTTATTATATATATATATATATATATATATATATATATATATATTTATTTATTTATTTATTTATTTATTAAGGTTTGAGTTTAAAGTGCTTGTTGAAGAGTGAATAAATTTTAATTTTAACGAATATAAATTGTTATTCATATCCAAACGTTTTTGATAGATAAGAATCAAGAATATTATTATCATATTTTTATTATTACTACTTCATCTAAAGATTTTTCAGTCATTACTGTTTATAAATTGAGACTGTAAGCAGATACTATTTAAATACATTGCAAGCTGCTTTCACATATACATCAATTCAACTGTTTGTTTATTTAAATACACCATCTGGTTTAAATATGATTGTAAATCACAATATATTAAGAATAAAGCAATAAAATGTCTATGTTTGTTTTCATTTAAAATATCTTTCAAACTATATAAATATTTTAAAATAATAATAAATACTGATCAGACCAGCTTTTAATATAGAAAACATCTGTTATATTATCCTTTCTGAATTAATAATAGTCTAATTAAGAAAGAGGGTTGTTTGAATTTCTAAACCAATTAATTCATGCTATATTATTGTTAGCAGCAAAAACTATCAGAAATAGTTTCATAAACTTAAATCTCTAATTAAATTTTTAAAATATTTAATTTTCTCGATATTAATTTACTTACAATGTTTTTATTAAATGATTTTGCTGTTTTTAATTTATCTTTACTTTTCAGATGTGATGTTTACTTTACTATGATTTTATAATTTTTTTTTTTTTGTTAACAACCATGGTTTTTGTTATGTGAACCATAGATGACTATTGCAAATTTTGAATTTTGTTTTTAGATTCCTCACACAGAAAAAAGTGTGTCACAAAAGGAATTTCTTTATCGTACTGCTCCCAATATCAAACTAGCAGTCTTGCATGTTATAAAAATTATATAATAAATAAGTAATTAGCATTTCACTCTTAAACAAGCACAGAAAATATTTAGATCTGATAGTAATTAATAATAAATAATACTGACAACAATTATAAACTTATACATTAAACGCATAACAGGAATTAAAGGATCTTTATAAATAAATGAAATACTTACACATTTTAAAAAAATAGAAAACAATATATATTTTTTTTAATCCTAACATAAGACAACAAAACTATTGAAAAAGTTATTTATGATTTAACACAGGATACACTCAGTCTGATTTAAGTTTGGGATGAGCTTATTTTAAATATACATATACACATTTTCTAAATTTAACATTTATAAACACATATTATGGCTTGTTAGTTGATTACATTTATCTTTTTTTCTTTAAGTTGTTGTGTATCTTCTTTTACAGAAAAATCTTTCGCTGCCAATTTTTCTGATTTAACATGTTTTGGAAGTTTCTCTGGATCTTCCGTTCCTGTGAGACCTTTATCATGCAACTCTTTCCAATAATCATAGTTTTTTCGTAAATGGTACAACATTTCAGGCATTTCAATAAAAGCTAAAAAGAAAATAAAGAATAAAATTTAATCCTCTTGCAAGTTGTAAGAGATACAAAATAAATAAAACACTACTGTGATATTTATCACAAAATATGATATCGATAAAATATCCAACTGTAGCAACAATTATTTAGTAAATTAAATAAGTACTAAACAACTTTTAATACTCATAATTCCATCACTCAGTGAACCGAAAGCATAATTTTTCAATTCCTTAATGTGATTGTAACAGAGTTGTTGGTAAGGAGGATGCAACACCGACCAGCCATTTCTGCTCCGATTAGCTTAATAGACAATAGTGATTGCGACTGTGAAAGAGTGCCGGGTAGAATTAACTGCCACGGTCACAGCTAAGGAGCAGAAAAGTACTGGCTGTGACAGAGTACTGGTATGGCCTAACTTTGATAGCCTACCGGTAAGGCTCAACTTTGATCAGTCGCAGCAGCCTGAGTGAAAAGGGCATCAAATTATTTACACTGCTGAAAAAATATTTGAACAGTATGAATCAATTATGGAAATGAATGTATGATAATCAAAACACAGATTCAATTTTATTTAAAAATAAAAATATAAAAGTGGCAAAACAGAAATATAAAACAATCATGATATTAAACCAACGACTTCTTATGCGCTGCACCCTTATCCTTTCATTAACTGGAGTAAAGTTTATTACTGACTTCCTTGCAGCCAGAATAACTATAAATCCAGTGCCAGGTATCCCATTTTTAATGTTTCTCTCGGTGTAAAACAGTATGTGGCTGTCTACAGTGGTTTCATCACCATCTGGCCACCTTACCTCTTGAACAGCTGTTAACGGTATGTTGTACTTATTTACTTCATTAACTACCGTTTGAGTCCACCATGGTCTGTATAAGCTCCGAACATTTCATGATCCGATATGGAGTCCGTTATACAAAGCTTGTTGTTGTAGTTGGTTATTACCAGATTCAGTCAGTCAGATTTTCCAAGACTGATTTTTTGGTTTCTTAGTGTGGTGTTTTTTATGGGATAGGGTTATTAGCCCTATGCACAACCCCCAATCTGGAGGACCAGGAGCTGTCTGCCATAGCAGTCGCTCACCTCCCTGTGGTGTGAGTTGCCTCCATTAGGCTGACGGGTCTCACATACCCGAGGGGGAGGGAAGGAATCATAAATAAAAATATTTTCTTCACTGTTAACAAAATACATTTTCTATGGATCTTGAGTTTCAACAAAACAAATCATATTATTGCCCACATATTCACAAATATTAGCCGTACGGCCTAAGGCACTTGCAATAGATAATCAAAGTTAAGCAACATCAAGCGCGATCAGTACTTGGATGGGTGACCGTCCGATTTGGGTGAGCATCCACCACGGAAAGATATGCTGCCCAAGATTCCCCCCTCCCTAGGGTATGTGAGCCTCGTCAGCCTACTGGAGGCAACTCACACCACAGGGAGGTGATTGACCCTGTGGTAGACATAGCTCCTGGTCCTCTAGGTTGGGGGTTGGGCATAGGGCTAATAATCCTATCCCATTAAATATACCATATTAGGAAACCAAAAACCAGCCTCGGAAAATCTGACTGTCTTAACGTGTTAACACCCCCGGCTTTGTATAACGGACTCCATATTGGATCATGGAGTGTTCGGAGCTTATACAGACCAGGAGCTGCCCAAACGGTTGTTAATGAAGTAAAAAGGTACAACATACCGTTAACAGTCATTCAAGAGATAAGGTGGCCAGATGGTGGGGAAACCACTATAGACGGCTACACATTGTTCTACACCTGGAGAAACGACAAAAATGGGACAGCTGGCACTGGATTTATAGTTAATCCGGCCACAAGGAAGTCAGAAATAAACTTCACCCCAGTTTATGAAAGGATAAGTAAAGTATGCTGCGCATAAGAGGTCCTTGGTTTAATATCACGATTATTAACATGTATGTACCAAACGAAGAAAAAGAGGATGAGGTGAAGGATGATTTCTACGACCAGTTAGAAAAAGTTGTGGACCAGGCTCCAAAATATGACATAAAATTAGTCATGGGAGACTTAAATGCCAAGATAGGTCAAGAAACCCAATTTAAGCCCATCATCGGAGGCCAAAGTTTCCACGAAACTAGCAATGACAATGGAGTGAGATGTATTAGTCTGGCAGCAGCTGAAGATCTAGTATTAAGCAGTACGATGTTCCTAAGCAAGCACAAACATAAGTACACCTGGGTAAGTCCTAAAGGAGCAAAGAGCCAAATCGACCATGTGCTGATAGACAAAAGGCATCAAAGCTCTATACAAGACATAAGGAGTTATCGTGGAGCAGACTGTGATTCAGACCATACTCTGATTAGAATCAAACTCTGACAGAGGTTGAAGCGAATCCACCAAATTGGAGACCAAGTGAAAATAAAGAGGTACAAAGTCCGTAATTGGAAAAACCCTATAGTACAAGCTGAATTTCAAATTGAGCTGAAAAATAAATTCAAACCCTTGAACTCGGAAAGCCTCACGGTTGACCAATCCACTTTTACAAATAGATTTTTAATATTTATTTCATAACACATGCTTATGATTTAAGATTTTTTTTGGAGGGACTTCAGCCCGAAAGCCTCCCCTGTAGATCTGCCTGTGGAGATGGTTGACCATGATTATAATATGAAGAGTTGGTCGGGGGATGTGGTCAAATAAATACTATATATTAAAATAGTATTTTATTGTTTAATCTCCAATAAAAGCTTCATTGGAGCTACAAAAGATACAAAATATGAAAGTTATATAGTAAAAAATAAGTTAAATGAAAAGATAAGATGTGAGTGGATAATAAACTATTACAGGTTACTCTTGATGACTATAGGTTGACAGGTAACGAAAATGAAGGTTAACAAATGAAGAAATTGAAGAACTAATAAGTAATGATCTAGTCTTCCTGCTTATTCTCTATGATTTCAGTTTCATTTTTTTAGTGTACAATGGAATCTCTGGTTAATTAGAAGCTATGCAATAGAGAGAGCAAAAGAGAAATGCTTTATTGAAAGTAGTGCTGCCCTACTACATAGGGTTGATTTACACAAATCATACCGATCAATCCATTTGGACATAATTTATACAATACATTATTCTATTACTACAAATATATATCTTTTCTTCTATTCCTTCCTCATTATAATACTAATAAAATATAAACTAATATCTACACCAAGCCCAATAAACTACACTGAGCCATCAACATTGCATAACATACCCATAAAAAAAAAAAATTTGAATGCTAAGAATCCAACACCAAATCGCACACACATATATCCACAACTATAGACAAAAAGACAAGACAATGCCAACAATTTAAAATAAAATAAATAAATGATAAAAGACATCCTCAATTCCTGGTAACTTACTATATAAGTGATGGTGAATGATTCCCAGGGAGTCCAGGATAATATTCTTGGCCAATATCGCAAGCTCCCCAACATCAACACCTAGTTCCTCGAGGAAGCTCCTTGTTCTTTTTGGAATCGTTCCGCAAGACCCAAACCAGAGGCCTCTCACGGTGATCTCTCTCTCTCTATGAAGGTCTCACAGGATTTCTCTTTTAGGAAAGGGATACATTTATCATAGATGTTCCTGTTTTCCCTTTCCACTTCACCCCCCTGATCGAGGTCATTGCTCTCAAAGCGGACAGTAGGGTCCAAGATCAGTGCCGTCCCTCCTGTCTTGGGAAATGCAACTATGTCCACATACCTTGTAGAGCCACATGCAATAGACCTCGTCAAAGCAGGCGAATTCTTTTTTTCTAAGGAACCTCATCAACTCGAACTTAACCCTATGGTGCCGACGTGTTATGAGGAGGGAGTTTTTGGGGAATTTTCCCAGCATATAGGCTGGTGTTTCAGACTCTGCTGCATTTGTGACAGAGGGACCAGACTTCCTTCGACTGTCCACTGGCTCCTGGGACTTCATGCAAAGGCGCATAGTTTATATTGAGAAGGCATTGGACCATTCTGACCCTGAAAGTACTTGTTTCTGGCATATGTACTTATTAGATTTCCGTGTCTCTTTAAAATACCTTACTCCAACGCCTTGCCACCTGCAGCTGGCCCATTCTTCAAAAGAGTTCTCTCTCAGCGACTGTCGTAGAGCTCTCACACTTCGGTGGCCCTGATCTACACTCAGTCTCTCAGCAAATTTGGCGATTTCAAAGGTATAATCAAATGTAGACTGGAACAGGGCATCCAGCACATTGGACAGTCTCTGGGCAATGGACCAATGTTGCAAAGGAGCCTCCCATTGACAACGGATCAGTCCCAATCTGCGATACCTCTTAGGTGCACACATCACCATTGATGTATTAGCAGGGAGCCCAATAATGGCCTTGATACTCCTGCAGATATTGGTATCAATTCCCTCCAATATCGCAGGATGTATCTTTGTGAGGGGCGCCGTCTGAAGAGGGTAGATAAGTACCGGGAACACATATTGGTTGACAACGTTGATCTTCTGCTCTGGCTTAAAAAGATAAGATCTAACCAATTTTTCCAAGTTTTTGTTCAATTTGGTCACCATTTCCTCATTTTGTACTAGCTCTCCCGAGAACCTGTATCCCAGATACTTTATTATATCACCAGCCATTGTTGATTCAATAATTTCTCTGTTCTCTAGGGAGAGCTTTGTTTCTTGCTGCTCTCCTTATATCAATTAGAAGGCCCAGGCTTTTCTGTGGATTTATAGCTAGACCAATCTCGGCAAGGATCTTCTACACCCCGTTGATAATCCTCTCTGCAGCACCCATGTCATGAGCTGTAACAGTCTGGTCATCCACAAAACCTGTAAGGAGCACACATTCTTTGTCACTAACTAGTTTATATCCATAGTGGTTGGAAAATTCTTGTTCACACAGGTCACGGTATAGGCGATCTATAGCCAGGTTGAACAGTGAGGGCGACAAGTATCCGCCTTGAGGTACTCCTCGTCCCACCTTGACCCATCTATTCGAGTGGGCTCCGATTCCAATCTTGACTTGGTTTGACCCCAGGAGAGCTGCAATCACATTTTTGAGGTTCGGTGACACTCCTGTTGCCTCTAGTGAGCTGTTTATATGATCGTGACCAACATTGTCAAAAGCACCAATGACATCAAGAAATACCACTGCACAATCATTCTTTCTGTTCTTGGCCTCTTTTATGATCGTATTGATGATTCTTGCACTCACATGTGCTCCTGGTAGGCCCCTGATGAAACCTCTCTGATTTTTGCTAAAGGTGGTCTGTTTTCTTAGTTGATGGTCCAGAACCTTCGCAATGATTCAGCGCAAAATTGAATATATGGTAATAGGTCTCCATGCAGATATACTGTTGGCATTTCCTTTTCCTTTGTAGACTAAGATTGTGCGTCCTTGACGTAGAGGCTCTGGTACATAAGCCACCCTCAGCATGATCTCCACAATTCTCTTAATGATATGAGATATATCAAAGTATTTAATCGTGTGGATCAAAACTCCGTCCAGCCCCCACGACTTGTCAAATGACGTTGATTTAATGGCTTTTTTTACCACCTGGACATCTATAGACTTTAAATTTGGCCTCAGGGCGCAATTCTCTTAATCCACATGTTTGCAGAGATTTTTTTTCACAAAGAGGACTCTAAAGTGGCCTTCAATCTCGGCTACCTTCAGAGGGCATTGCTTAGGAGTGTTGGCATTCATAATGTTCCGAACTACTTTCTTCTTTCTATTATAATAATTATATTGAGCTACCTCATATTGTTGCTGTTCTTGCCGACGAATCCTATCCACCTTATTGACCCTCTGTGGATTCGACACTTTTCCTTCACCCTTGCCAGCCATATCGGTTTAATTTTTCTTCTTAGTTTATAAATATTTATAAATATAAATCTCTATATATATTTATAAATATTTATAAATTAAGAAGAAAAATTAAACCTTATATCTATATTAATATATAAAAAATTATATATATATATATATATATGATGATCCTGAGAATCATTTGTAGAAAGCAATTCATTAGTATTTATTGCATAGCTTATAATTTACTAGATTCCATTATAAACTAAAAAAATGAAACTGAAGTCATAGAGCAGCAAGACAAAGATTAGTTAATATGTATATTAACCAACAGCTGATGCACAGGGGTATTAAATATTCCTTGGCCAATTAATAAATGCCATCCCTCTACTCCACTCTATTTCTGTACCCCTATTCTTCCACAGTAACTTAATAACTATTATTCAGTAAATGGTCCAGGTATAATACAAAATTTCAGATTAACTCAGCTCGGATCAATATTTAATTCCAATTTTTTTTTTAAGCTAACTTACAGTCCCATTCTTCAAACATGTTGTTTACAATATAATCCATAAAGCCCATCTGAGAAACTGGAATAGAGCAGGTACTCCGATCAAACAATGGCATTACAACAGGAAGATTTTTGGCCTTTTCTTCATCTGTCTAAAAAAAAATTAATAATCAATATTATGGTGGAGAAATGGTCAAGTCTAGATTCTTATAGGAGAAGTTAGTTGGGGATTGCAGTCATTAGATGTACACATACATACAATTTATTTTTGTATACTTCTAATGACTACTTATCTCCAACCAACTTCTCTAATAACAATCAATATTTATTGTCCATAACAATAATTGTATAATTTTAGTAATGAATATGGAGTATTTGAATACTCCAAAATTGAAGTTGTTTGATTTCATTGGGAAAAATCAAAATTGATTAATAAAAAAATTAAATAAAATACTGGCATCACCTTCTATCTGTTTAAATATGTTTTACATAAAAGACATAATAGTAAATAAATATATTCATCTATCTCAACAATTCCAAGTATATACTGAACATAAATATTTACTTGTGAAGTATGTTTTCATTTACATGTACATAGCTCATTGATTTTTCTTCTAACATCAAAATTTCAGTTTAGAAGTAAGTGAATATACAAATTTTTGCATTCATACTCACATGAAATATATATTTTATATAGGGTTAGTGAACCCGGAGGTTTGATACTGAATATACATCAACAGTCCTTCCCAAATCCCCCCAACCCAAATCCTTAAGATCGAATTTTAACATAATCCTTCCATACATATTGGTCAACCCCTATGACACTTTCACATCGAATTAGCACTTATTGTCCTTTTAGTAATTTGTTTGTCATCTGTCCCAACAACTATATATGCACATTTTATTTGGCACAATGATAACACCTCATTTATATTTACTAGGTACATTTTAGATAATTCAGGGTTATATAGCCATCTGAACTCAGTGTCATAGGTGTATTATAAAACATTTTTACAAGATAATATTTAAAGACCTAAACTCATTATTAAATATCAAATTTCTACATCAGCCTACCTGTGCAAAATATTCCTCTGCTATTCGCTTGGCCCACTGTTTGCATAAATGTAAAGGTCTTGTTGGATTAGATACATCGGCACATTTTATTAGCATCCGTTTAATGAGCATTAGATCTTCTGGGTTTATTCCATTTTCATTTTCAGGATCTTTATCTTGTCTTTCAACTTGCTAAATATAATTTTATCAGTTAAATGCGTTATAATGGATTTAGTTCTAGTAATTATTTATTTTCTATCACAGCATAATACTAAACAAAATAGTTAATGCTTACAAAAATATAATAAACAGAATATAAAGGTGGTACAGTTCAATTATATTAGTTCTTTAATGTCTTCATAAAGCTCAGAGCTAAAGCTGTAGAGTAAAAATATCTGCATATATGCAAGGCATAATCAATCAATGAACAAGTAATTTATTTTTAAAGCTTATATATATATATATATATATATATATATATATACACATTTTTTTTTACATTTTTTTAAAAATATATATATTGTCGATACACTGCTAACTATCCAATATAAAAAATTTTTAATCCTGCACTCTAGCGATTGTAATTCTAATTAAATATTTTAAAAGAGCAAATACAAAATCTTTTAACATTCATAAAAGAACATATTAGTGTGGAAATAAAAACATCCTCATCAGCATTTGTATTGACAATATATATATATATATATATATATATATATATATATATATATATATATATATATATATATAGGATATTGAAGAGAAATTGGTTGGGATGTTACATTACATTTTATTCTATGTCAATCTCACTTCTTTTTAGTATTTTAAGACATTATATTTTAGCAACTACATCACCCCATTTATTCTATGTCTAACTTACATTTTTATCTCATCATATTCCATTACAGTTGTTTGTTAATTATTTTTTTCATTACTTTTGTCACCTAATTTCATTAAGTTTATTTCATTCATTATGACTATTTCATTATTTCCCAACTTTGTTGGCGTTATTATTTATTTTATAAGTTCCGCTCTGTTACTGTTATAATATTATTATTATTTTAATGTTAACAGTTTCTCATACCTATTGTTATCTAGACTTTCCTTAGCCCTTATGAAGGCCTAAACACTCCAAACAACTTCTCTTCAATTTTCACTACAATCAACCATCAATCCACTGTTATATATATATATATATATATATATATATATATATATTATATATATATATATATATATATATATTATAAATATTCTTAAAAGTAAAAATATCTGCATATATGCAAAGCATAATCAATCAGTTAACAAGTAATTTATTTTTAAGGATATAAAATATATAAAACTAAATACAGTTATAACAACCAGAATCTATCAGTAACGGAATATATTTCATCATAATCATTCCTATTCTGCATCTTTTGAGTTTCTTTAACAGTCTTTTATCATCTATTTGAATTAATTTTTTTGCAAACTAGACTTCCTCAATATTTTTTTTTTCATTAGTCAAAAACAAATTACATCATTTTGTTAATGTGTGAGGGAATAATCCTCATCTTCAGGATATCTTATTAGCAGACTCTTCTTTGTTATAAAATAAAATTTTCATACATTAGTCATATTATTGTTAAACACTTAAAAATGGAGGGGTGCATGTCAGAATGAATCATAAAATTCTTGGATATGCAGATGGTATAGCTGTTCTTAAAAGCAATCAAGAGGACATTAAGAGACTTGTCAAGACTCTGATAAGAGAAGTATATGCAATTTGGTCTAAAAGTAAATGAAAATAATATATATATATATATGACAGTAAACTGAAAATTCTATCCCAACAACATGATCTGTATAGAAGGGAAATCGTTCCCATATAGTAGAAAAATTTGAATACCTCATAAACTTCCAAAAAAAAACAAAGAAATAAAAATGATTATATGATTCTAGAGTTATTTAATCTAAAAATTATCATAATTTCAGCAACTTAATTTGTTTCCCATAATCAATTAGCAATGTAGTATACGAGGGTGAATCAAATATAAATGGGATTTTATTTTTTTAAATAATTCATTTATTGAAAAACAAAAAGGCAATAATAATTTATTTTTACACATAGTTTCCTGCTTTAGAAATACATATTTCCCAGCAGAAGAAAAGTTTTGTATTACATAGTTCCGGAGCTGAGGCCGAAAAACATGATTTGAAGAAAGTTTTTGACCGTATTTACTGAAATTATTCTTGCCATAGACTGCAAATATGGGCGTCGTCCTCCCTAGATAGATTGCAATAAATTTTATGGTTCATCCAAATCATCATCATTAGTCTGCCCAGGGACAGAAAACTAAAATATTTACCAACCAGAAGTGGTTGTGTTTAACCGGTCGATGTAAGTCAAAACCCACCTCTTTCATTCATAATTTTACTAATTTGATGATGGATTAAACCTTTTCTAAATAAAATCAGCATCCCCATGGAGTAAAAAAAAGATATCTCCCAACCGGATGCGCCTTGTCTTGTTTTGTTGGCAATGGTTTTAATGTGTACGGTAGACACAATACAAAAATCCACTTTTTTGCTTCAAAACTCCTTTATATTCCTTCGAAAGTTCAAAATGTAATTCATCAAGGAATAATATAAAATGTCAAAAAATACACCTCCGTGTTGGGTAACTAGTCCTTCATCGGGCGCCTCCCCAGGTGGTGGATAGAGGAGTGCCTCCCAGATATGGATGATACCATAGAAACAAAATACCCAGGGTGGACCAAAACTAGCATAGTGTAGACGTGACTCCACAGTTATAGTGAAGACAACACATCTAGAGAACATTGTTTATAAATGTCCTAGTCCTCCAGGTTGGGAGTAACGCATCGGACCAACGATGTGGCTTTTTGACCTGTGGATCACATCGAGACCTCCAGTAAGTCCCACGGATCGTATCGCAACCTTCTTGTAAGCTTGAAGAACTATCTTCTCATTAATAAGGCATAAATGAAACCAAGTTGGGACAGGGTTTATGATAAATGATAAGCTAAAACACTCCCAGCTGAAATACGAATTCATTAATTCATGTTTCTGTGCAATAAGACTAATAAGGGGTCTGTTTTTCAATACTTCTATGGTTAAGGGTGTATGCCCTACTGAAGATGCAGACGACAAAATGAAGGACGCATTTTACAACATCCTAGGAAGGACCTACAATGCTTTACCTACAATGTGAAACTTATTCTTCAAGACTTCAAAGCGAAGATAGGTACAGAAGGATATTTTATACCCGCGATAGGGCTACATAGCTAACATGGGAAAACTAACGATAATGGTTTCAGGTTAGTGAATTTTGCTATGGGGAGAAGCATGGTGATCAAGGATATTCATGATGTCTGAAGCTGTAGAGGAGGAGTGTGTGTATGGATCCAGACCACCATTCAGTCAAAATAAAATATAAGCAAGAAATTGTGCTGAAGGTCTGAGGAAGAGCTGAGCAGCCTTCACTTTGATGTGGAATGGCTGAAGGACGAAGATACAAGGCAAAGATTTGTCTCAAGTGTCCGAGCTACTTGAAGATGTAAACGATGTCACCTCAAGGTAGACATATCTTAAATATAGCAGGAAACAAGTGGCTCAATGAGGAATGCAGGACAAAATTCGAAGCAAGGAATGAAGTGAGATGTAGAATGATTCAGCACCACAACAGAAGTACAGCCAAGAAGTATAGTGACAACATAAAGGAAATAAAGAAGATCTGCAGGCATAAGAAAAGAATCTGGTTTGTCAATGACCTGTTGCTGTTTTCCTCACATATACTCGCCCTTTGAACTTTCTACGCCACACAAACCATCCTGGACAATGTTTGATCACCAAACTGTACTGACTGCACAGATTGACTATCTCAGGAAAATTTTCTTCACAAGTAATAAATTTTATAATTATGTTTTACACTATTGAGGGGTACACCAGTTGATCCAACATAGTGAGGGTTACTGAAGAAGTGGTTGGAGATGTGGAACAACTGGCTCTCCCCAATCCTAATGGCCTCTCCACCTAATCATACTGGAAGTGTGGATCCAGTTCTACCAACTGCAGATTCTCAGGAACAAAAATTCCATTTATATTTTATTCAACCTTGTACTTATGCTATTTTCCATATGATCCAGATTATACCTTTGTTTCAGCACCAGCTGTGTCTTCTGCAGGTTTATTAAATACTGTAACAAATTTCGTATAATGTTCAAAATGCTTGAACATGTCTGTCGCCAAAATCATGTCAATAATGCAAGCCCTAGCTGAAGTGTAAGTTTTACGATCTAGAGCTGAAAATTCAGTAAAGTTAGAAAAATATATCAATAACAATAGTAATTTTAAACATTCATTGGTTGAAATAAATATTTACACATATACAGAGTGTTCCATAAGCAGAGAGAAATATTTAAAAGGCTGATAGCAGACATTAAGATCTACAAAAAAGTTCATATAAACAATTTCCCAATTTTCAGTAGGAAAGTAGGAAATTTAAGATTTGTGTTTTTTTAATCGAGTCACGTATTTTGTTAACTAGGAAACGATAACTTAAAAAATATTTAATTTAAGTAATTATGGAGATATGGACGTTGTAAAGTTTATCAAACTGGGGAGGCTCAGTGCCATGTCTTGGATGGAAGCGGAAGAAATTCCTAGAAAAGTAGTGGACACTGCCTTTCACGGTACATGACGGCCTGGTAGGCCAAGGCTTCAATGCATTGATGGAGTGGCAGCGGACGCACGGAGCCTGCTACGGATGAGAAGCTGGAAAGCGGCAGCACAAAATTGGGCCGAATGGTGGCGGCTCATTGAGGAGGCCAAGACCCACCCAGAGTTGTAGCGCCACGAAGGTAGATAGATAGAATAAAACATAGCTCCATAGTAAACTAGATAAAATTTACTTTAAACGTAGAGTTTGTCATTGTAAAGCTATTTAAAGAGGATTATTGAGCGGACAAACGCAGCTAAGTTCCATTTAAAAAAGTCATAAATTATTTGTGATTTTTATCACCCTTTAACTGTACTACATTTATCCCACTCCAAGTAAATTTTGTCTATTTTCAGTGAAGCAATTGTTATATACTAAAATAAAATATGTCTTAAGTTTTCGCTTCCCATTTAACAAAAAAGATGACTTACTTAAAAAACAAAAAACTTAGATTTACTACTTTTCTGCTTAAAATTAAGGTGCTCACTTTTTCTCTTTCATAAGAAGCAATAACACGAAAATTATTTAATTCAGGTAATTAAAAATTACTTCATAATAAACTAGGTAAATTTTCCTTTAAATAGAAGGAAAGTTTGTCTTTTTCAAAACTATTTAAAGGAGATTTTTGAGCGGTTAAACTAGTTTTTCATTAAATCTTTGTGATGTTTTTTATCATCTTACAATCTATAAACAAACAACGAGTAGAAACTACAGATAATCCCCTTTTATAAAAACTTTCGGGTTTAATAAGCTTTAAATGCATATCAATTTATTTGAGAATTGTTTTAGATTTGCCTCGATTTCTGTGTAAAATTACATGATTTGATTTCCTAGTCATATCTTTTAGGTTCGCTGCCATTTTTAAAAAGCTTTTTATAAATTCTTAGGCCAAAGGTCACCAAATGTACACAGTTATCACATCATGTATTATTGAATCGACGCTTTGGCTTCAGGAGCCATTTTCAAGATCCTGCTAATATGCACCGCTTCTTAAAATTTCCTTAAATGTATCATTATAATATAATTCGTCGGTCTTTCTGTATTTCATCGAATGTCATTTTTTCACTTCTCTTTATTAGAAGGTATTTAAAGTGTTCTTTCTCACTAATGCACTTATACAGGACTCGTGATTTGATATTCTGTCATTCCAGAGTAATGTTCAGCAAAAATAACAACCAAGAAATTATTACAAAGTTTTAATTCCTTCTTTTCAGAAAAAGACAACTTAGCCTGGTTTGACCGCTCAAAAGTCCCATTTGAATAGTTTTGATAAAGACAGATTATAATTGTATTTGAAGGAAATTTTATCTAGTTTACTTACTATCAAGAAACTTTAATTAGGTGAATTAAATACTTTACTTGTTATTGCTTCCAATGAATGAGAAAACGACCATCCATCAAATGACATTTTTTGCAGGAAATCTTGTCTAGAATCACTTCCCAGAGTTTGACCATTAAGAACTGAGACACCCTGTATATATATATATATATATATATATATATATATATTTACAAAAGATATATGTATTATATTTTAACATAATTATTTAATTGGGAATTAGATCACTTACAAAATTAAGTGACCTAATTCCCAATTAAATAATTATGTTAATATATATATATATGTGTGTGTGTGTGTGTGTGTGTGTGTGAGTGTAAAGAAGCTTCAGGTTCTAACAAATCCTCACCTTATCATACATTTAACACATGATGTTATATAAAAATAACCATATGGTACGGTTGGCAATTATTTCAAATTATTAAGTGTTTAGTGTTGTGTTTAATTGTACTTAAAAAATATAAAAACTGATTGTGTTTTGTAGAAGCAAAAGCAGTCTACAGTTTATCTACAATTAACACTAAACAGCAAATAGTAAGCTATAATAAAATGAAGCTAATAATTCTGAAATTCATAACATGGAAAAAGAAATAGAAGCATATGTAATTAAAAATAATAATTTCTCACATGATCTTTTACTTGGATTAGATGCGATTCAAGAATTTTATCTCTACCAAGACGATTAATTGAACATTTTTAAACGTCTCAATGATAACATAATAGAAATACTTCCCAGAAATAAACATATTGTTGGAGGAAGAGATATTGAAGAAAAGAATACACAATTTTTAAATTTTAATGAAAAAATCATATAAATTAATGATACATTACAACATTTAGATAAAGAAAAAAAAAGAAGAATTGGCAAAAATAATAAAGAAGCACTCCTCAGTTTTCACCATGTACAAGTACCATGTTGGTCAAGTTAATAGTCACGAAGCTCTCTTAAAATTTTTATAAAATAAATATATCTCAAAAAAACCCTATAGGTGTTCTATTTCAGATCAAAATGAAACAGAGGAACAAATCAAACAATTTTTGAAAACTAGACTAATTGAAGAATCAAACTTCCTGTTAACGCCGCATAGGCTTATTCTTAATTTTTTCATTATTATTTTTTCTCACATTTACCTCTTTTCAATGTTAACAATAAAATGTTTATTTTTTATTTTTGTAAAAGTTTGAGGTACAATTGTCCCTAAAATGTATTTAAGTTTATGTATTTTTATATTTAGGCTTATTTTGCGATGTATTATCGCTTATTTATATGCACCAGCCCAGCAGTAATACCCAGTCTTAGGGATTAAGACACAAATAATGCATAGTTCTGTCGGGAGGCAGTCTTAAGCCAGTCTGGAGCTGGCCTTCGTTATCGGGTCCACGTAGTGGACAATTTCTCTCACCTTCTCACCAGCCGCTCCAGTTAACTCAAACCCCACCGGCCTAGTATAAGTGCCCTGTTGTTTTTTTTGGAAGTCTGGAGATAGCTCTTGTCGACATTAGACCCATGTAGTGGAAATCTACCCCCACCAATCTCACCAAGCTCCAGGCCGTCTAGTCTCGCACATCTCACCTAGCGCCATTTTCGAGATCAGCTGTCGCAGCTGAGTAATCGATACATATCGATGCCACCCCACCATCGATTACTCAACAGCTGGAGATCGGAAGGTAACAGGTTGGAGGCAGAACCTCCAACTTGGCTTGTTGTTTTCTATTCTCACCAAGACTTTAAATATTAACTGTTTCTCGCTAACTGTTTATTCTTTTGGACCATCATTTTTCTCTCTCGTTTTATTTTTAATTCAGAAATTGATTTCTTTTTTTCTTTATTAATAATTGTAATTTTGGGTTTATGTTCACTGATTTATATTTTGTGTTTTTTTCATTTCAGTGAAATTCATTCTACTCTTTATTTATTTTTTTTAACTATTGTATATAAATTTATATCTCTTTTTCTTTCTCAATAAATTGTAAACATTCAAAAGGGGATTTTCATTTTTCCATTATTTGATTTATTGAATATTTCTATTTTTTAATATTTTCTTTGCATGCATTTGTTTTTTCTCTAATGTTTTACAGGTCTCATTATTCACTAATTTTTTTTTCTCCTTCTTTCCCAACGTTTTTAATTTCACTCGAATTTTCCCCACCATTGAGGAAACGCACCGGGGAAAGATCTGTACTTCAATTTTGAAGTACCCCTGGCCCCAACACTCCCCATTTGCAGCACTTGTAACATTAGCTTACAAAAAAGAGAAAGGTCGTCAAACTTGCTTGTGCATTGACTTCAGAGAGCTAAACAAGCTTCTCATACCAGAATCATAGTCTTTTCCACGCATTGAGGATATTGTTGTTAAATCATGAAACTGTAATTGGTTTTCTGTTTTGGATATCAATTCCGCTTTCTGGGCAATACCTATAAGAGAAAAGGACAGGTATAAAACTGCCTTTGTCACACAGACTGGAAATTTTCAATGGACATGTTTACCATTTGGACTCAAAACTTCAGCAGACATTTTTCAGAGAGTATTTGCAAATATAATTTGGCGCCAAGATTCGCATTAATTATATAGATGACATTTTAATATTTTCCAAAACTTTTGAAGATCATTTACAACATATAGAAAAGTTGATGAAGGCTATTCAATGAGCAGGATTTAAATTAAAACTACAGAAATATATACATTAGAAATATATATTTGAAAAAAATTATTTAGAATACATAGAAGTAGGCAATAAGTTAAACCAAAATAAGCTAGACGAAATACATTTTAGAATAATTCGAAAAATTTCTAAAACAATATACGAAGTATATTCTGAAAGAAAGCGTTCTGATGTAAATTTATACCATAGCAGGAGAGAATTTCAAGGTTAACTCTGTAAATTAACCTTCTGCGGGAAGGGGGGATGTAAAGAAGCTTCAGGTTCTAACATATCCGCACCTTTAAGTAGTTTATTTAATTCATACATTTAACACATGACGTTATATAAACATAACCATATGGTACGGTTTGCAATTATTTCAAATTATTAAGCGTTTAGAGTTGTGTTTCATTGTACTTAAAAACTATAAAAACTGATTTTGTTTTGTAGAAGCAAAAGTAGTCTATAGTTGATCTACAGTTAACACTAAAAAAGATAATATTAATATATAACTTTTAGGCCAGTAATATTCTATTCTTTTGTACAATATTGTTATTCTAAAGGGACTTAGTCACAGAATAAAGTTTTTTTTCTATCTATCTATCTATCTATCTATCTATCTATCTATCTATATCTCTCTCTCTCTATATATATATATATATATATATGTACAGGCTGTTCCGTAAGTAGAGGAAAATTTTTATAGGAGTGATAGCAGACCTCAAGGCCTACAAAAAAGTTGATATAAACAATGGACCAATTCTCAGCAGAAAAGTAGGAAATCCAAATTCAGCATTTTTTAAAGTAATCATGCTTTTTGATGAATAGGAAGCAATAACTGAAGAAATATTTAATTGAAGTAATTAACAATTATTTCACTATAAGCTAGATAAAATTTTCTTCATATGAAAATTTTGTTTGTCATTGCTAAAACCATTTAAAGAGGAATTTTGAGCAGCTCAACTTGGCTAAGGTTGATTTTAAAAAAAATCATAAATTATTGGCGATTTTTTATATCATTATCCAAATGCACTACAGGTACCCCACTTTTAGAAAACTTCTTCTTTTAATAATTTTTAAGTTCATATTAATAAAATTGAGGTTTATCAGGCCAATTCTTGAGATTCACTTCAAGCTGTGTAAAGAAATGTGATTTTTCATCTTGTCACCTAAAAGTAACGGTGTTTTCAACAAAATGGACTACAATTAATTGTTGCAAAGCTTTTATTACTTTTTTTTATCAATGATCTGAGGTATATTATAATAAAAATAATTATCTAAATACACTTTTTCTTTGTAAGTAAAAAAATATTAATAATGATTGGTTAAATACTTTTCATGTAAAATGTTTATGAAACTGTATTTTTGCTGAAAACATGAGCAATATTAGTTAACTGGATAGAAATTGAGATAATTCACAACTTGAAGTGAATCTCAAGAATTTTGTCTAATAAACTTCGATTTAATTAATATGGACTTAGAGCTTATTAAAGGAAGTTTTTCTAAAAGCGAGGTATCTGTAGTACAATTGGATAATGATATAAAACAATCACCAATAATTTATGATTTTTTTTTTTAAAAAACTTAGCCAAGTTCAGCCGCTCAAAACTCCTCTTTACATGGATTTAACAATGACAAGCTCTATTTTCATTTGAAGAAAATTTTATCTAGTTTACAGTGGAACAATTGTCAATTATTTACATTAAATATTTCTTTAGTTATCGCTTCATATTCATCAAAAACCACGACTAACTTAAAAAAACACTAGACTTAGATTTTCTTACTTTTCTGTTGAGAATTGGCCCATTGTTTACGTGAACTTTTTTGTAGGCTTAGAGGTCTACTATTACTCCTACAAAATTTCCCTCTGCTTACGATACACCCTGTATATATATAGCAAAGCATTTAATATTTAATAATTTCTTATAATATAATGCAATAATTTTTTATTATTAATATTAAGTATACCTTTAAATATATTAATTTTTTCATCTCGAAGGGTGAGTTTAAATGTTAAGGCTGCATGATGTTGCTCTAGGATACTAACATCATTGTATAGAATTGCTAGTTCATCACCAGAATTTGTTAAAAAGGCACTGGAATGAAACAGTTAAATTTTATTAATTGTTTTCCATTTCTATTTCCTTATTAATATTCAAAGTAAATTCATTACTATGAAATATTGTTTGAGAGATAAAAATTATTATTTAAGTCAATTATAATATTATAAGGGTATAAAATATTTTCAATATAAGAGTAATTGTTTATTTATTAGATGGGCTATAACCCTTATAAATTTCAGAGAAGAAGTTGGCCATTGCCAAAACTCCAATAGTGAACTCAAAAAAGATCTTGAACCATTGCTGATTCTACCTGTGAGGAAGATAATAAGAATGTGTTGGAGACCAATGCCACATGTGTAGGAGGAGGTTATTAACAATGACTATCACCAATCAATATTGTAAATCTACCGGGCAACACTGTTTTTTTTTTTTGTAACCTTCTTAATTACTTTTGCATATGTTAATTAATGCCAGTATTTTTTAGTGTTGTAATTGAATTGTTTAGAAGTAAATTTTCGGTTTGTTTACATTGTGTTTCTTTTTCTTCATCACCAAATTTCCAGAACTCTAACAGGTTATGGACCCAGTTAAAGCAAACTAAAATTTTAACGAAATTTAGTGTAAAAAGTGAACTTGTTGAGGAAGTTTGTTTTACTTACTTTTTTTTCTCCAAGTAATCAGGTAAGCAAGGACGTTTCCTTTAATTGATTTACAATGTCTACCACGAGTACACGTGTTCCATTAGGTTTTGAAAAATTAGAAAGTAGAAGTAACTACATTGACTAGTAAAGAGGAATGGAAGAGGCTTGAAGAATGAAGAAATATATGAATCTAAAGGTTTTTTGTGTGTAGCCTCTCTTATTGAGGAATTAGTAAATATACGATACGCAGATTGTAAGGATATAGCGGAGTATGTAAACAAGAAGTTGAAGTTGGCTCAACAGCTACAATCAATTGACCACGAAATCAAGGATGGTTTCCTAGCTACATTGATTTTTGTAAGTTTGCCAGACCATTTCAAATCTCTTATTATGACCCTAAAAAATTATAAGGCCGCTCCCACATCTGATTTAGTTAAGGAGAGGCTCTTGACAGAATCCAATAAGTATGAATCTCTGAGTGAAACTGCCATGTTCTCAAAGCCTGGCAGGGGAAGATTGGCTTACATCAAGTGTTATAATTGTAGCCAGTTTGGGCACTATACCAATAAATGTCTTAAACCTTCAAGAAGGAACCAGAATACGGATAGGAGTAGGGAACCCTCCATCGACCAGGGTCTTGTTTTGGAAAATTCAATTTTAGTGACCGGAGCTCTTGATTCCAATTGATTCGAGAGCAACGATCCATGTAACAGGAAAAAAGGATTGGTTTACCAATATTAGAGAACCAAATATAAAATCTACAGTTACTATGGCTTCGGGTGAACAATTGCCAATTACTGTAGTAGGGGATACACAGGTTTCGCTCGAAGCTCGAAGCAGTAAACCTAAAATGGCTCCCATCAGAAATGTGAGCTATGTTCTCTGTCTTACAAATAACCTGATTTCATGTGTTGAACTTGGTCAGAAAGGCCTGCAGAAAACTTTTGAGAATGAGGAGAGGTGTGAGATTATTAACCGAGATATTGGTGACGTCATCACTGTTGCGGAATCTTCTGAAAATGGCCTGTTCCAGTTTCGCTATCCTGGAAACTCAAAGATATTCAACGTTACTGCCTCAACTGATGAGGCCTATCTGTTATGGTACCAGCGATTTGGCCATTTGCCTTCTAGGTCTTGTCGCCTGATCAAAGTTTCCAGCTATGTTCTGCAACAAAATTTGTTGAGATTGTGTTTTTGGAAAGCATGCCCAAAAACCATTTCCTTCAGGTAAAGCATATTGTGCAAATGAAGTCTTGAAGTTAATCCATACTGATCTTTGTGGGCCTTTGAAGGTAAATTCCATGAGCAGAAAACGCAACTTCATCATCTTCACGGATGATAAAACTAGGAAACTGTCATTTGGAATCACAAGAAACAGAATCTCCTAGGGAGTACGAGTTGGGTAGATGAAAGTGTGACCATTCTGGAAGATGTGTTTGGCAGTACATTGGAAAGCATTTGAAGATAAATGAATTCAGTTCCACAAAGGAAGAAACAGTGTATATAGAAAAAGGTTAGCTTGCCAATTCATGCTTGACTTTATTTTAAAATCAGTGTTTAATTTTAGTATAAATAGTGTAAATAATATTAGTTTGTCTGAGTCTTTTGATCTGATTGTCAGTAACCTATACCTTGAGATAAAATAATTGTAAAGTTTAGTTTAATATATCAATATTCTTATAATTTTGTTTATTATTTAACAACCTCTTATTTATTTAGGAAGTATCCAAACATTATGAAGTGATCTTCCGAGGTTATATGATTAGTTAAAAATATAAGAGATATTAAAATTAAACAATAGGTTTTATATATATATATATATATATATATATATATATATATATATATATATACATGTATATATATATATATATTTTTTTTTTTCGGTTGGCACTACAGACCATGAAGATCTTTGGCCACAAGATGTGGTCTTCTTACAGACCTATGTTTGCTTACAGGAGCTGAGATAGCCTGGAGAGGGTCACCCAACCTCACGTTGCTATGAACCATGGTCTCCATGGTGCAGCGGCAGGCCACCCATAGCTCCATAGCTGATCCCTTTGAGGCCAATCTGGCAGTGTCCTTCCCACCAACTCACTCGGGTTCAAGGACAGAGACAAACCGGTCTAGATCGATGGATTATGACTGCTCGGAGTCAGCAGATGCATGAGGACCTATATTTCTTTCCCCGAAACAGACTGTCCACGGACCGAACCTCAGGGGAGCTACTAACATCCTGGTAGACCACATCCCAATTTCCGATTAAGTACACAGGATAGGGTCATCAGTCCTGCGCCCGGTCGGTGTGAGTTGCCTCCAGTAGCCTGACGGGCCTCACATACCCGGGAGAGGAGAAGACTCGGGCAGCATGGCTTTCCCTGGTGAACAGTCACCCATCTAAGTACTAACCACGCTCGACTTTGCTTAACTTTATATATATATATATATATATATATATATATATATATATATATAGATATCAGGGGGTAATTTTATACTAATTTACAGGGCTAGCCGTGCGGGCTAAGGTGCTTGCAATAGGTAATCAAATTAAGCAATGTCGAGCATGGTTAGTCCTTGGATGGGTATCCGTCCGTCAGGACAAACCACACTGCCCGAGATTCCTCCCCGGTATGTGAAGCCCATCAGCCTACTGGAGGCAACTCACACTGACCGGGCGTAGGACTAATGATCCTACTCCATTGGTGAAAGAGATAAAGATACTTGTGTGCCTGCATACTCTGAGCAGCCATAATCCATGGATTTAGACCGATTTGTCACTGTCCTTGAACCTGAGTGTGTCGGAGGGAAGGACACCACCAGATTGGTGAAATTGTCACCAGAGAAAACAAAATGACAGAGGACATAAATACTCGAGTTGCTGCTGAGAATAGGTGTCTATATGCAATGTGTTCTGTTCTAGTTTATAAAAATCTATCAAGAAAAGCAAAGGTATTGCTTTATAAGACAATAATTAGGCCCACAGAAACTTACAGCAATGAAACCTGGGTTATGACAGCAGCTAACTAGAAAAGGCTAAGGACCTGGGAGAGAAGAGTTCGAAGAAGTATATTTGGCCCTGTGCTTAATAGAAGGATAGAGGCCAATGAGCTTAGAGCGAGAACAAACTCCAAGCTGAAAGAACTATTCCCAGAAGTGGATATAGTTAATGTCATAAAGAAAAGAAGATTGGGCTGGCTGGGACATGTCGAAAGGATGCCTACGTTGAGATTGCCTAGGCAAATGCTGTATGGTCATCCTGGGGGAGGGGAGGGGGGAGAAGTAAGTCTCGTAAACGATGGCTGGACGACATGGAAGAGGACCTCTGCCAGCTGAACATCAAGCGATGGCGAACTAAAGCGAGGGATAAGGTAGAATGGAGCAGGATATTGAAGAGGCTTTGGTTCTTAATGGACCGTAACGTCATGCAGTAAGTAAGGGTTCTTTAACTTTTTCTGTAACAATGTTATTGGGAACATGTTCTAGTCCAGTTATTCTATAGCTACATCTCGAAAAATCCATTTCCTTTGACAACATTTTTCTTACTATGTTGGTTGAGATAGTCTATGTTTCATATTGAGACATATAACACAGTGCTTATAACAAATGATTGGTAGTCTCTTTTTCATTTGGAGCATGACGTTTTTATTCCATAAAACAGAATTTAAAATCTTAGAAGAAAAGAAGTTTTGTTAGTAAAACAAAAAGCGAGTATATGGCATTAAATAATAGTGGAAACTCCTCATTAAACATTGGAGAATGGGATTTGACCCCAAGTGAGCAATTTAAATATAGAGGCAGGTGGCTTTCACAGAGGAGAAACTGAAAAAAAGACATTGATGAAAAGGTCATTTAAATTCTGTATTCACAATGATTTTAAAAAATATTTAGATTTATATAATTATTACGTATACTACAAGATTATTAATTATATCATGCTTCAGTATTCATCATTACATGTTTGTACAATATAATATGTTAAAAGACAACATTAACATTAAATTTAGGTATGTTATACCTTGACTTTCCTGGATGTCCAAGGTCGTGTGCAGCAGCAGCTATTAGACAACAAGCTTCATCCAAAGGATCAAGCAAATTTTTAACACGTAAACGATTGAGAAAACATCCTGTCACTTGCAAAACGTCAGCAGCATGACTTGAATTATGATATGTATTAGTTGGTTTGTAATGTTTCTCCATTGTACTTAGCCATCCAAACGTTGTTCTGTCATCAATGCCAAGTGTTTTATGAACATTGAAGTTGGAAAATATTTTCATTCCAATGTATAATAAAGGCCTAAAATGAAGTAATTATTTAAGAACAAAGTTATTAATATTTATACAAACGTTTGGTACTTGTTACTTAGCCGGTCGCCACAGAACCTCCATTCTTATCTCCTGTAACCTTTCCCTTACTTGTGCATTATTCAATTGTTTTCAGTTTTTTTTTTTCTGTTCAAATGGATGTCATTACACTTTGGGAATTGCCATATTCGGAAGAAGAAGCTGTCAAATACTTTCAGAAGTTTGGGATAATTCCAAACGTGAAATTGTGTGAAGAAGGTCATGAAATGGAGTTTGACAGGAAAACCAAATGGAGATGTGTTTTTAGGAGTTGCAGGAAAAACGATTCTATAAGAAAACGAACGTGGTTAGAGAGGTCAATGATTAATTTTTTAACTGCTTTAAAATTCTTTTTTGGCTGGTATCATAATTTAACAACAATTGAGTGGGGCAAAGAGCAGCTGAAACTATCCAACAAATGTGTAGTGGAGTGGAATAGATTTTTAAGAGAGGTTTGTGCCCATAACATGTTATACAGGTCAACTAAACAAATTGGAGGGTCTGAAAAAGAGGAAAGTTTTTTTTTTTTTTTTAAGGAAAATCATGTGGGGAGAATTCTCCCTGAACAATGGATGTTTGGCAGAGTTTGCTGAGAAACAGACGAGTATTTCATGGTAAAAATAAAAGACAGAAAAGCAACAGACCTATTAGAATGTATTAAAAATAATATAGTTGAGAGAAGCACCATATATTCTGATTATTGGAAAGGATACAACAAAGAATGAAGCAAACTACAACTATTTCAAATAAAAGTGTTTTATATGCATATATGTTGTATATATATAAAGTGTAATATATATATATATATATATATATATATATATATATATATATATATATGTTGTAAAATAAAATAACTTTGTTATTATAACATATCATTTTATCTATTTAAATTTCCATAAATACGAATACGAAGATAGGTATTATCAGTATCAGAATTATCAGTCTTGTCACAAGTACCAAACGTTTTTATAAGTTAATGAAAATTACTTTAAAAAATTATTAATTTAATTACATTTTCTTAAGGAAATGAGTAAATTTAAAATTATTTAAGGTTTTTTTTGTGAACTCATTTTCATCAGGTTGTGTGATGGTAAAAAATGCAGTAATACAATGTTTTTTTTCTTTAATTATATATTTATAAAAATAAAGACGAAGTACAAGGAATATAGATAGTAAAAAGGAGGAAAATTAATTAAATGACCTTTAAGATAAATAAAAACAAAAATAAAAGAGAAAAAATATCACTGAAAATGAGGAAAAATACACAAAATATTGAGCAATAAAAAAAAGTATATTAAGAATATTAAAAATATAATTTAATATTAAATTATAATAATTTTGTATGAAAGATAGTGAGTTCACAAATAACTTAAATAATACAAAATCGGTCTTCCTAGATAAAATAAATTGTTATGTAAATCTAAAAGTTTTATAATTAAGAATGATCATATAATTTAAATATTATTGTATTTGTTTTAGCATAATTATTTAATATAAAAATTTTTTGAGCAATAGCATTCAATTTATGGCTTACAATGACAATATAAGTTATAATGAAATACATATGTCAGTTTTTAATTTTTTATATAAGCCAAGATTTCTTTCATATGATTTTTATCGATTATTAATTAATACAGCTAAAAATTTAATAGACAAGGAAAAATTAATAACTGATAAAAATCATATGAAAGAAATCAAATCACAAATATTTGAAATTATATTAGAAAACTGGTACCCCATTAGATTAATAATAATATCCAGTAATTATTATTGCATTTAACTTGAAGAATTGTGATTGCATTCCATGTGATTGCTGAGATAAATATTTGGCACTAATGAAATACATACTCATATTAAATTTTACACTAATGAGTGTGATGGTTTACAACAATATTCTATTTCATGGCGTGATGGAACAGATTGTATCAATCATTAACCTAATCATTTTTCATCACTGTTATATTTGATACATCAGCTAAAATTTAATGTAATGTTATTTTATACAGTAAATCTACTAATTAGCCGAATTAATAAAATGGTACTTGTGACTTAGCTGGTTGGGACGGAACCCACCTTCTTATCTTACATCACGGCACCACCCTTCTTATCTTGTGTAACCTCTTGTTATCCTTCCGTTACTCGTGTGTTATTCAATTGTTTTCAGTTTTGTTTAATATTTGTTATCTTCTGTTCAAATGCATATAATTATACTTTGGGAATTACCGTCTTCAGAATAATAAGCTATCAAATACTTTCAGAAGTTTGGAATAATTCCAAACGTGAAATTGTGTGAAGAAAGTCATGATGGAGTTTGACAGGAAGACCAAATGGAGTTGTTTTCATAATAGTTGTAGGAAAAACGTGCCTATAAGAAAAGGGACGTGGTTAGAGGGGTCAAAGATTACCTTTTTAACAGCTTTAAAATTCTTTTTTGGCTGGTATCATAATTTAACAACAATTGAGTGGGGCAAAGATCAGCTGAAACTATCCAACAAATGTGTAGTGGAGTGGAACAGATTTTTAAGAGAGGTTTGTGCCCATAACATGTTATACAGGTCAACTAAACAAATTGGAGGGTCTGAAAAAGTGGTTGAAATAGAGGAAAGTCTTTTTTTTTTTTTTTTTAAAGGAAAATCATGTGGGGATAATTCTCCCTGAACAGTGGATGTTTGGCAGAGTTTACTGAGAAACAGATGAGTGTTTCATGGTAAAAATAAAGAACAGGACAGAAAAGCAACAACTTAATTAAATTGTATTATAATAATAATAATATGTGGAGGGTTTTTTCACCAGCTTCAGCAGACTGAAATAGATAAATCTTTTTCCGTTAGCTGGCTAGTAGGAGGAAGTCTGTTCTCAGAGACTGAAGGTTTTTTAACTGCAATCCAGGACCAGCTTATAGCTACCAGATCCTACTGGCGACACATCTTGAAGCAACAGAATGTATCGGACAAGTGTAGGCTCTGTGCAAGCACATATGAATCCATTCAACACATAACTGGAGGCTGTGGAGCTCTTGCAGGTACAGAATACCTAAAAAGACATGACGATGTTGCCAAAGTCTATCACCAGGTGATTGGTCTAAAAAGTAAATTATTAAACGATTCAATGCCCTATTATAAATGCAGCCCTAAAGGTCTCTGCCAAAAAGATGGTATAAAATTATATTGGAATCAATCGTTTATAACAGACCATCTCGTGACTCACAATAGACCTGATATTGTGTTAATTGATGGTAATATTAAGGTAGCTGAAATTATAGATATTGCTGTGCCAAATGATGGAAACATTAACTCAGTCTGTGTAGAAAAAATTCGGAAGTATCAAGGTCTAGCAGTTGAATTAAAAAGTTTGTATAAACTTAATTAAATAACCGTTATGGGCATTGTGATCTCCAGCAATGGCCTGATACCGGTGTCTACTGTGGAAGCTACTGACAAACTGGGCCTCCCAACTCATGTAATAAATGAAGCTCAAAAAGCGATGGCTGTTGAATACTGCCAGTATTGTAAGAAGTTGTCTCAACATCCAATAGAAATTAAAATAGAACATACCTGAGATGGTTGGAGTTGATTCTCCCCCTCTCAAGTAAACAAAAATCCTTTTGTAAAAGTGTTGACAGATAAAATAATAATAAAAGGCTTAGCGAACCCGGAGGTTCGATGCTGACACCACCAATCGTTTATTACACACCTCCCTCCACCGTTCGCCATCCAAACCCAGTCCCTTCATATCGGCTTTAACGCAATCTTCCCACCTTTGCTTCGTTCTACCTCTCGGTCGTTTACCATTCGGTACAGCAAATATCAACCGTTTAGGAATTCTTTCGTTACTAATCCCAACTATTTTACAAGCTCATTTGATTCTCCGTGATGTAATCACCTCAATTATATTAGCTGGATACAGTTCATGCAACTCGGTGTTGTGCAACCTTCTGAACTCTCCTGTTAACTCATCTTTATTCTACGCAATATCTTATTTTCAAAAACCTTAAGACGTTGTTCATCTCTTAATGTAAGCGGCCACGTTTTGAATCCATAAAGAACTGACAAATTAAATTCCAGGACAAAATGCGTGAGCTAAGTAGTTTTGTCACAGAAAAATAACAAGCATTTCCCCCTTCAGCCTAACCTTAATCTCCTCTTAAATTTTGTTTTTTCTAGTTATCGTAAACCCTAGATTCATAAACTTTTCTACCTGTTCAAACATGTTACCTTCTATATCAATATCACCAGCAATATAGCCATTTTTGCAACTAACCATATATTTTGTCTTATCCTAGTTTATTTTGAGCCCTAGTTCTTTACCGGCTTTCATCAACGTTGTTGTATTTAGTTTTATAGTTTCCGTGTCTTCACTTAACAGGACCAGATCATCCGCATAGCCAAGCATAGGTATTGTTCCACCCAGATCCAACCTTTATTCAGTACACATTACCTCCCTAATGGCATGTTTTAATGCCAAATTGAACAGGACAGGCGAAAGGGAACCCGAATGAACCTCAAACTTTTGGGACAGATTATTACCGATTCTAACTGTTTTGAGTGTTTCCATCAAGCACATCCTGACTAGATTTACTAGTTTTTTTTGGAATCCCCTTCTCGATTACAATATTATACAGTTTCTGGCTGTCAATAGAATTGTAAGACTTTTTGAAATCGATATACAGCTGGTGAACAATATTGTTGTACTCTAATTTTTCCTCCAATATTTGCCGTAAAGAAAATATTTGATCAATAGTCGAACGATTCCGTCTAAATCTGCATTGGTAGTCACCCGTAATTTCCTCGGCGTATTATGTGATTCGACTTGTTAAGATTAAAGTGAATATTTTATAGCATACCGGAACGAGTGAAATTCCTCATTAGTTATTATAATCCGTCCTCGGATCCTTTTTGTGAATCGGAATAAGAATAGATTCTTTCCATTCTTTAGGTAATTTCTCATTCACCCAGTTCTTTTTAACAAACAGATGTATTTTAGAAACTCCAGCTTCCCCGCATGCCTTAGTTCACAAGGAATATTATCAGTTCCCGCAGCTTTGTAAGATTTTAATTTTCCGATAGCTACTTCAACTTCCTCTTTACTCGGTTTCAACTTCTATTAACGGTTCCGCACTCTGGTACTCAGAAGGAGGACACAGATCATAATTTCCCATATTTAAAATACTGTTAAAGTGGCTCTTAAACTTATTTAATATGTGTACTGGATCGGTCAGAATATTGTTATTTTCATTACTAATTCCATACGTGATGGCCCCAAACATTTACGTGATCTGTTTATACCTTTGTACATGTCTCTTACGTTATTTTCAATTCTATTAGTTTCTATTTCAACTATTTTATTTTTAAGATATTCCCTTTTTTTATTTTTGAGCAATTTTGTCGTTTCATTCTTTGAGGTTCTGAAGTATTCCAGATTCTCTTTGCTAGGATTATTTAGAGCTTTTAATTTAGCGGCTTTTCTTTTTTTTTTGCACATGTTCAAGCAATCTTCATCAAACCACAGTTTGTTAATCCTATTTTTCTTTTTTCTTAGACACGAGTTACCGACCACTTTAATATTATCCCTGATCTCTACCCATAACTTGTCAATATCCTCGCGATCCTCGTCAGAAGGTTCTAAAGCTTCAAATCTTTTCTTAACATCTAGCTCGAATTGAGTTCTAATGATGAATTTTTTAATTTTTCCAAATTAAAATTCTCAAAATCGAAACGGTTTTCTTTTCTCTTTTTTATATTAAGTTTTTGTCGAAGTTTCGTGACTATTAATTCATGATCCACCCCACATTCTGCTCCGCAATACGACCGTACATTAATTATACTGCTTTGCCAGCTATGTTGTATCAAGACATGATCGATTTGATTTTGTATGTGCGAATCCGGTGATGTCCAGGTATATTTATGAATATCCTTATGTTTAAACGTAGTACTTTCGGATAGTCAAGTGGCAATTGGGGCCCTGAATAGTTATACAAGTTGCTTAAAGTTGGTGGATGAATGCAAAGGCAATCTTAATCTTCTTTGTAATACTAACAAGGTGAGAGTAGAATGGGTACCTGGGCATTCAGGGATTCCAGGAAATGAGAAAGCTGATTACCTTGCTAGGAAAGGCTCTCCACAGGTGCAGATTGCAGCAGAGCCTATTTGTGGGATAAGCCTTGGCTTTGCCAAAAGATATATTAAGACAATTGTGGGCAATAAATTTATGCTACACTGGGCACAGACTAGGAAACAGATCCACTTTAAACTATTCCTTGTAGGGCCCTGCCATAAAAGAAGCAATTCACTTCTTCTAATGGACAGGAATACCATTAGGCGAGTGACAGGACTGCATACTGGTCAATGTCAATTAAATAAGCACCTTTTCAATTTGGATGTAAGTGAAACGTCCACCTGCAGGCTATGTGGCCTGGGGGATGAAACGGCCTATCACATTATCTGCAAATGTGATAATCTGGCTAGACTGCGATACTTTCACTTTGGATGTGAGCGCATCACTGACCCCAAGCACTGCGAACTGATTGATCCCATCAGTATCAATAGGTTCGCAAAGGCATCTGGCCTGTTTTAACTGAGTTTAGGACGACGCACAATAGGCCTTTTTGAGGCCGTGGTGCACAACAATATCGGAAAAAACAAAACAAAAAAAAAACGTAGTACTTTTAGTTATCAAGTTTTTCGAGATGGCAAGGTTTATCAAGCGGATCCCATTATCATTACTATATTCATGTAAACTTTCTTTACCAATCTTTAGGGCATAAACTTCTTCCCTCCCCACATTTGCGTTTGCGTCACCTACAATTATTTTCATGAAGTTTCGCAGTAGTTTATCATAAATCCATTCAGGTTTATCGTAAAATTCACATTTGGATTCATCGTCACTGTCTTCGATCGGGCAATGTATGTTTATGAACGTGATTTTAAACCAACGTTCCTGAAATATCGCTACCGAAATTCTATCACTCAAGAATTGTACGTCCCTCAAAGCGGATAGAAATCTATTCCTAATTAGAAACCCAGTACCTAAACAATGATTCCCACTTCCTCCGTACCAAATAGTGTATTTTCCTTCCCTCATCGAGCCCTCCCCTGGCCAGTAAATCTCTTGCAGAGCCACGACATCCAAATTGTACCCATTAACCTCATTTGCGACCAATTTTAACCCCCCTGCTGTGTTGTAAACTCCTAACGTTCCACATACCAATATTTAAATTAAACTTGCACCATGAATCCTCTAAAGCATTCCCCACCCGGAGACCCGAACGGGGGACTAGTTTACCTCCGGATAATGAGCGTTTTACATTAGGGAGATCCATGACTATTTGTGGTGTATGGTGAGTAGATAGGTGAACTAAAGATAGGTGAGTAGGAAGTTCAATCCTACGTCACACCCTCCAGCAAGTCTGATGGGCCCCTGCCACCAGCAAGTCTGGAGGTCCCCACCCTCCAGCAAGTTTGGAGGTCCCCTCCCTCCAGCAAGTCTGGAGGTCCCCTCCCTCCAGCAAGTCTGGAGGTCCCTTCCCTCCAGCAAGTCTGGAGGGTCCCTCTCATTGTTGGTCAGCGAGCCTCTCATTGTTGGTCAGCGAGTCCATTGGACTTAACCGGGAGGAGCTTCCGAGGAATGTCCAATGGCCATCCCCAGATCTACCACCTGTGGCACGCTCCCCATATGCGGTAATGAACCCGTGCGAGGTATTAAAAATAATATATAAGAGAGAAGCACCATATATTCTGACAGTTGGAAAGAATACAACACCCAACAACTGAATGAACCAAAGTATAACCATTGGCAGGTGAATCACAGGTATAACTTTATTGATCCTTCAATTGATTTCCATACTCAACACATCAAACAATCATGGGGCTCAGCTAAGTGGAGAAATAATAAGCAATGAGGAACTGTGAGGCAGCATCTGAGATTCCTATTTATGTGAATTTTTGTGGCGGCGGGCTCACAGAGAAGAAGACTTCTTCCTCACTATTTTAAATAGTATTAAGCTATTTTCTCTGCCAAATTAAATGAAATGTAAAATAAAAGTGTTTTATATGTATATATCACGTACATATAAAGTATGAATGTATATACGTTGTATGTATTAAGTGATATACATATTGTATTTTGTCTCCCAAAATGAATAAAATGTCAAATAAAAGTGTTTTGTTATTATTACATTTATTTTTGTCTATTTCTATTTCCATAAATATGAATACAAAGATAGGTATTATCAATATCAGAATTATCAGAGTTTTGATCATAAACATTGGCCGATAGCAGTCTGTCCCGACCAACTAAGTCACCGATAAAATAAATAACACGTTTACTCACTTGCCTGCAGTAAGCTTTTCAACTAAGAGAACATCAAAATCCCAAACAGATAACTTCTCAAGTGCTTCTTTCAGATCTCTAGACATGGGCAGAAGTAAGTGTGAATGCTTTTTTGTCCCTTGTTTCTTTTTTGATACTGCTGATTCATTTGAACTTCTTCTTGGCATTATTGCAGAAGGAGGTCCTTGCTGTTACAAAAAGAAACACCAATTGACCCAACAATTAATAATGATATTTTATGAATTTCACTTGTATCATTATTGTATATTAGATCATAACTTTATTTTTGGTAAATAATTAAAATTTATTTTATCATGAACAAATCCACCATTGATTTCAGTTTCATTAACATCTTGTTAAATCAAACCTATCACAAAACAAAAATTGTTAGAGGCAGTTATTCACAATAAATTGATAATTGATTTTTTTTTTTTACTACATAGACTGCAAACAAGAAAGTTTTAGTATAAAAACAGAATACAACAAAATATCAAAAACTATACATCAGTAGCAGTTGTAATTAAAAGTGATTTAGCAGAATAATTGTCTATTATTAGCATGAATAATCATCTATTCAATTAAATCAAAAGATTGAACTTATTATCAACTTTTCAAAATTATAAAAATGCACAAACAATATTCCGCAGGATTATAAATTTTATCAAGCAGCATCAGAATAAAAACCAGGATTTATACAGTGCTTGTCATAATTCAAACCAAGGACAAGAACTTTCAATAGAGTGGACATATTATAACCACGAGAATCAAGCTGATTCTCAATAAACTAAAATCTTAGATGACATCATTCTCGATTGAAACTATTTAGGGAAGCTAGTGTGTAAAAGTTAGGGATTCAGTAACTAAACCTTAAAAATTAAGCTTTAAAAAACAATATTAGCTAATAATCTTAATTTATTTAATGAAAATTAGATTTTAGTTTCAATAATTATAGGATTTAATGGAGATTGAACTTCACTTTAAATTTTGAAAATTTTTAAATATATATGATTATAATACAATAGGATACTAATATTTCGTATTCCAGTAAATTATATATCTCTATAATTCATATTTACAAATAAAAAACCTCAATAACTTTTATTGTTTATAGATAGTTCAGGGAAGAGAGCAAGTAAGAAGAAATTGTTTCTAAACTTGTAAGATAGAATTTATAGTTATATATATATATATATATATATATATATATATATATATATATAATATTATTAATGCTGTACTGGGAAAGTAAAGAGGAACGGGTAAAACTCCATGAGTGGGTTTCACACAGAAAATAATAAAAAAAAGAAATACTCATATATTCTTATCAGATTTTCATTTAAAAAAAATTTATTGGTTAATTACAAATAAACAAAATTTCACAAAAAAACAATACTTCTTACAAGTATCAACATTTTAGTTATCAAAGTCTCAATTTAATAAATATTCAGAAATACCACCATTGACTTCTAAACATTTTTGGCTTTGTCTTCAAAGGGCGACAGTAGCCCTTTTGATTGGTTCATATCTTCCATTAATGATGCCTGCTGCATTTTTAATATGTTAAATTAGTATATCTCGAATGTCTACCTTTACTTTGCATACTTCATCTTTGAGCCTGCTCCATAAACAATAAATCAATACCGTAAGATGTAAAGATCTTGGAGACTAACTAATTGGACTATCACGACCAATCCAACGATCTGGAAACCTTTCATCCAAATATTACCTCCCCTTACAAGCGAAGTGGGACTTTTGGGAGCTCTGTCATACTGAAAGTGCATTTTAATGCTGATGTTCAGAGGAACATCTTCTGATAGTTCTTGTAATTCAAATTGTAAAAAAAATCTACATACTAGACAGAACGACAAGAAACTGCTCGACGTTGCCGACTGCTCCAACACTTACTAGACAAACCCTCTAAACATTCAATTAATTACAAAAGACTTATCTACTTAACTATAATAAGACATATATGGACATACGGAGTTGAGCTTTGGGCTCTACCAAACTATCGAATTCCTATCGTATCCAATCCTTACAATTCAAAATCTTTCATAAAATCCTTAATGCTCCATATTTTGTCACAAATAAAACCATTCATAAAGACCTTAATATTCCATATGCCGCTAATTTAGCCCGAGCCAGATACCTATACTTTCATGATAAACTCCAGTCCCATCCGAATCCACTTGTTTCCAGCCTTGCTTCTTCCTCGATTCCTGATAATCCCCCTAGGCATCTGAAAAGAAGATGGCCTCGTGATCTTCTTACCTAGAATTAAACAGGGAGTGCTACCACTGGGCAGTATCTCTTCAAGTCTGTTCATGTCATTATTTATAATGTCTGCGTTTTTACTGGTTATATTTTTTTTTTACAGTTGTAAATTTCATTAAATAAACAATAAATAACAAATTGTAAAAAATCTAAGAATTAGTCTTCATCGAGGTAATAAAAACAAAAGGACAAATTATATAAATGAATAAAATATCAAAGATTTTTGTTGGCCTACATATGAGAGTTGTGAGTGTTATAATTGCCGTAACAAGCAAATTTTGCTTCATCCATGAATAGCATGCATGATAGAACATGAGGATTGTCATTTATTCACTGACAAAATTTTATATATTTAGGATAATCTTCCGGTTGCAGGTGGTATACTCTCTACATGGTATGGAAACAAGTCTTGCTCATGAAGTGTGTTTATTACTCTTGTTTGTGGAATGTCCAATTGAGGAGCTATTCTTCATGACCTGATTATTTGATCTTCAACTAGATCAAGAATATTTTCTACTTCTTCTAAGCCATGGCAAATAGCTCATTCAGATGTTATAGCAAAGGGAAGTGTTCTGCTCTTGCACGATTTGTTAAAAACTCTGATAAATACCTTTTCATCAGAATATCTGTGATGAGGAAACTGTTACAGATATTTTTCAGTAGCACCTATAAGCACACCCATCACAAAAACCATAAATAAATAACATATTCTCTATATCAATAAGTGTTTGGCATTTTGTAAGACTTTAATAAAGCCACAGAAAATAAGTATGAAATCACTGTGATGATCACTGGTACAATTAACATATGTTATAATCTAATTGTTTTTTAAAACTTATTTATTGAAAAATATTACAATCTGTCTCAAGAACATTTATAATAGTGTTCACAGATCACATTCACACTCTGATTGTAACTTGTTTACAATCTGTTGTATACAAAATCATAATGCTAATAAATCTATGAAATATTATTTATTTGTGAAATATTATTTATTTATAACTAGAAAATACAATTTAAATAAATGAAAATCATATAAGAACATATGTTTTTTTATTTTCCTATATGGAACCTTTGGAGTTTGACATATTTCTCCCGACTCACCTTGTATAAGAATTGTATATAACTAAACAGCAGAAATTTATACGTCCAAATGTCATATAGTTCATGATCCTCATTTATGATATAAATATTTCAAAGAACATAAGAACAATCAACTCTTATATCCTCTCTAATAGAAGGTGATTTAAAAAAAAAAAGAAAATGATTTGCACAAAATTTTGATCTATCAACATTCTTATGAGTAATGGTTGGTTTATTAGGTATTAAAAAAAGCAAGCATAAAATTAAAAAGGCTTAGTGGGGAAAATGCTGTATGTTGGTCAAAGACTGTTGTAAGTGGAAAAATGAATAAGAAAAAATAACCGATTCTCATAGTACCTTACTTTTTATATCAATAATTAATTTTTAACCCTTGGACCTTTGACAGTACGAATTATAGAGGTTTTAATGAACCATCAATGAATTTTTTTTTTAAATTTTGAGTATGGAAAAGTATTAAATACTAAAATCAATCAAAAATACTAAAATAAAAAATTAAAATCAATAAAGATGTAGTAGTTGATCGTATCTAAGTTTTACAAACAAAATTTAGTTGATCAAGTATCTCAGCTTCTTCAGGATATTGAAATAAAAAAGGACAAACATTTTTCTTTTCTGAAGATAGATAAGGAATAAAATAATATTTGTAGAAAGGAAATACATTATTAATGTATTTGCTTTAATGTATTAAATTATACAAGTTTGACGTGTAAAGAAAATATATAGAAAGAAATTCTGAATTTAAGTGAATTTAATTTTATATGTTGCTTGACTTTAACAAACTTATAATCCAGTAAAGTTAGGGGGAAAAACAGCTTTACCCCAACATTAAAAAAATAAAGATGAAACTTGTCAGAAACTGTTCATTATCCTCTCCTTAATAACTGCTAAAGAGTCCCCAAAGAATCCCTTCTCGGGTTTTGATAGGGAGAGGGGGAGGGAGAAGAGCAGAAAACTGATATTTTTAGTTTTTTGAGAATATCTCAAAAACTATGAGGTTTTTTGCAAAGATTGTTCAGTATAATACTAAAGTACTTTAAAATGTCTATAAAAATGACCCTATACATTTTTTAAAATAAAATCAACTGTTACTGATGAGATTATATTTAATGTATTTCCACTTTAAGCAAAAATTGCTCCAAACCACGTAATTTATGTTGTTTATAGCAGACGATACCTTTTTGTAGTTTAATTAGTTTTTTAAAAACATTTTTGATCATTCAAAGTTTCTTTCTTTTAATGATTCTAAAAAGTCATCAACAACAGAATTATAGTTGATATCAATCAATGGGAAACTTTGTGATAATGATTTGAAGTTTAGATTGACATTAATTTCACATAAGAGACAAACACTAAATTTTATAAAAAGTTACCATAAACCATCATCTGATTATATACAGAGAACCAGGAAACTTAAGTTTTTTAATTTTTAATTAAGAATCCCATAAATAAAAGTCCCAATGTCTGTTGTTGTCTAGGGCCATTCTTTCTATTTCTTCTTGAAAATAGGTTGCCAAGTCATCCTGCTTTAAGTGATATGATTTTATGACCTTTTTCTTGGAGTTCTTATTTCTTTTCCGTGGTTTCAACTAGTTCCAACATCTATTAATTATCAGCAGATAATGGTCACTGCCTATCTCAAATCCTAGCTTGACCCTGGCAGCCATTACTCCTCGCATTTCTTCTCTTTTGACCAAAATATAGTTAATAATAGATTTTTCATTTCTTCCCGCTTCTTCTCTCGTTATCTATGACATTCTTTATGCAGAAAAAATATATTTGTTACCATCAGATCATTTGCCTCACAGAAGTT